ATTGAAGCCCATCTAGCTCGCCCCTAAATTTTGCACGAGTGTTTATTTAGGGGCCGTTTGGTTCCCTGAAAAGTACTTTTATAAAATAAAAAAATTTCTTGAAAAAGGAGAGATATGATTGGGGGTTCATGGGAGAGGAAAAGGGCATGGTATTGTTGGGAGGAGAGAGTGTTGATATGGAGTAAAAAAGAGTCATGTTTTAGTGAAATGAAGTTTTGGACACGGTTCTATAGGGCCAGCGTGCATCTTGTAGAAATGCGGGCTCGGTAATAAATATGTTTTTAAGTGAACTATTTGTGAACCTTAAATATTATATGTTCTCTAATTTTTAGAGAACATATAATATTTAACATGGATCTCAGGAATATGAAAAAAAATAATGAAAAATACAAGTAATAATTATATTAAAAAGAATATTTGGGCTCTTGTTTTTAGATGGATCACATATTTACATCCATATGTAAGATGGATGCTTTGTACCTCGGGACAACATATTGTAGAAAGGCGGTCCAGCCCGCATGAAACAATTTTCCGTAAAGTTTGACCAATTTTTGAAATGGAGTTGGGGCAGGGTGGTTAGGAGGCAAGAGCCTTAACAAAACCTTCTGCCCTCCATTTCTGCCATTAACTTGTCAAAAAAGAAGAAGAAATAACGACTTAACGGTTTTGACCCCTAATTTGAGTATCAATCACTGAAAATGAATCTAGGACTCTTAATGGGTTAGACGTTCTGGCTATGTTAGGCCTAACAAACCTAAAGAAATAAAGAAAAACAAGGTGAAAAAAGGGTCGGCCTGGGCTGGCCCAGGTCCAACCTAGGCATGGCAAAATGTAGCCCCAGTTTCTTTTCTATCTCTCTTCTTCTCTCAAAAGTGAAAAACATCTTAAAATTTTAATCCATTCGGATAGTGCTCGTCACATCTATTATTTATGTGTTTTCTTTCCTGCCTAGTTTTATTTCAAGGGCAAGCTATCTATGTTTCCCCTACAACATAAAACTTATAATACTTCCCTTTATCCAACCGTCCATTTTGAATGGAGGGTTAAGATTGCCCCAATCACAATGTCACGTCTCTACACAATTTTATTTTATAAACTATTTTGACACCAAATATTGGACGTTCAATCCTCTAATAAACTCGCACTAGCGAATTTTTTTTTTCCCAATACAATAAAATAACCCTAAAAGTTTAAAGGGTATTTTGGTTATTATATTTTATCGAAAAATTATTTTTAATATTTTTTATAGGTGCGCCCCAATGAGAAGATGACAGGTACCAAATTTCATATTCATACAATTTGTATAACAAAAGCAAAAAATAAAATACTTTGAGACGTCAGATCTAAGATCAAACAGTGAGTGGCTCTCTTGATCAAAATTGGATGGTTGGATGGTAGGGGAAGGATAGATCTTCTATGCTATAGGGGAAGTATAGAAACATTTCCCTTATTTCAAAGGACATTTTAATTGTGGTTTAGTGTACATTAATTAATTTGTTTTTCGTGTTTTAGAGCTACGTAAGTTTGTTATGAATCATTTAATGATAGAAATCCTCTTGGTTAGTTGCATTTTAATTGTATCATGCTATATCACCGGAGATTATCTATAAAGAGACCATTTATCTTTGGAAAAAATTTATATAGAGCCGAGGCTCTGAACAATCAAATTTGAGCCTAGCTCAAAAATTTCACTAGAAATAGTTGTTTTGATGTTTAAATATCTTTAAATTGATCATCTCGACATCAATTTGGTGCCAATTTTCAAGATTTTCAAGTTTTCATAGATGTGTCGATCTACACTATTTTTTAAGCTTTAAACTTTATAAATAAATATAAAAAGATATTTTAAGACTATCATAAAGATTTTGAATATTGAAACCACACTTATCGAAACATTTTAAAGGTAGGCTCTAATTTGATTGTTTAGAGCCTAGGCTCTATACAAACCGCACTTTTTATCTTTTATACATGGAAGTCACAATCATTCTCGGTCCCTTAAATTTCAAAATGGGTGGTTGTAAGAGTATCATTGTATAGACATAAAGTTCTAAACAAAAAATTTCGAATTTCGGATTTCATGACTCACCTCAAGCCATCCAAATTGGCATCTAATGAGTGAGAATGATTATGACCTCCATATACAACAAATAAATAGTCTCTTTGTAGACAATCCCTATCAATTATTGAGAAAGTATGCTATACATCTTACATTTCTCCATATTATTGATAACAATTAGTTTCATAATGGGGGAATATATTAACACTACAACTAAATGGATTAATAGAAACTAAAAAGAAAAGAAAGGACATTGTTTTGGTGAGTCAACTGATTCACCTATTACATTGCGATTCCTTGTCTATCTAACGCCGAGCTCTAAGATGGATGTAAAAAAATATTACATCCCTTGTCTATATACGATAAAACCATTAATAAGAAGGTCAGAGTCATTTCTAGTTAATAAATTTGAAATCAGAAGGTGACTGGTGACTGATTAGGCTCAAAGTTCATCAAAATATTTTTTAAATTACGTGACATATTATAAGCTATTCGATTTGACTTTTAATGGCTAAGATTAGATGGAAACTCCTTATTTAAAAGATAGGTCGTCTTATAGTATACAATTCCAAAACAAAATCTATTGGAGTCCTCATCTTTAAATGAAAGATGGACGGTGATGCAACCCCCATGGACTATGTTTACAGTATAGGCCATTACCTCGCCCAAAAAGATAGAAAACATTAAAATCACATTCCTACCTAAATCTCTCACGAGGTTCAAGTGTACGTTCAATTGTGCCAAAGTCTCAGTTTTTGGCCTTTTTAAAAGCAATAGTGCACAAGATAAATGAAAGTAAATGATTTGAAAGAGACTTATTACTTTAACTTCTATTTTGGATCGGTAAAAATTGCCTTTTTGTTTGAATGTCTTAAAAGCCATGTTAGAGTCATTATCTGTTAGCCCTAAAAATAAGCGACTCATGTGGTAATAATTTCAAATAATAAGCATTTTTAGAAATTGGCGGGGACCATACCAGTTCCGATTGATTTTTATTTTGACCGGTGATTATGATAGAAGATTGCCAAGATTTAAAATAGTAATATAAATCGAGGCTTTTTTTTTTTTGACCAAGGTTCAAGAACTTCATTAAATCTTAAATGGAGATTATATCGTTAGAAACAGTAAAAGAAAAGAGAGAAACAACCTTTTTTGTCAATGCATCAGCGACCTCATTAGCTTCGCGTTGGACGAGGATGAAAGAGATAAAAAGACAATCCACCATATCCAAAATTTGTAACCAAAGCGAACACAATTCCCATGAAGCCCTCTGCTCCTTTTTGCACCAATGAATAACATTTAGGGAGTTCATTTTAATTAAAAAATTACGACCTAAATTCTTCCCAATGAAAGTTTGGACACCCCTTAACAAAAGCAGTGAGTTCTGCACAATTAGCCGCAGCAACACGAATAGGACCTACATAAGAAAACACAACATTTCCATAACAATCTCTAGTAACTCCTCCAACACTTGTAGGTCCCAGGTTTTCCATAGAGCTTCCATCAAAATTTAACTTAAAAGTTCCAAAAGGTCGGGCATACCATAAACATTCGGCTCTGCGTGGTCTAAAATCCAAAGAAAAAAGATTGTGTGGATTTATCATGACATCAACCTTAAAGATACCCTACCCATCTTTAGCCATCGATAAAGAGGACCAGATTGATAGCTCGGTTAGGTGAAAAAACTTGTCTACCTGCAACCCCATATCTTCAAAAGTCTGTCTATTTCGCTTATCCATACTTCCCATAAGATTAAACCTTTATCAATCTTCCAAATCGTAGAACCCACCGAGGCTTTTAACCTAAGGAGACATGTTACCAAGCCATGTGAAAGAGAATGGAGCTGAGAGAATCATAGAATTCTCCATCGATCAGTGTGTTTGTTTGGTTTTTAGCTCATATAAAGTGGTACATGTAAAAATACTATACGAGAAAATATTTTCACGTGAAAAAATGCATGTGTGGTATAAGAGTATTTTCACACCAAGTGATCCTAGTATATTTTTTTCCCAACGATTGACACTAACCTAATCGCGTAAGGTTGCGAGTTTTTTGATGTAAAAATAGTTCCCAGAATGACTTTTCGCATGTACCTACTACCAAACGCGCCTAATTTACTTGTGCATGCAATTGATATTATCACTTTTACTGGGGACTGCAAGCTAGATTTTTTTTTTAACTCTTTCATAAAACTGCTTATACCGTCAGTAAATTGCAAATTTCGGTCTTTTGCCGAAGAAAATCCAAGGACCGAAGCCATATGTCACGCTCAGCTTCTCACACGTGCGCGAAGATCCTGAAGAGAGATAAACTCTATTCTTTAGGGGAGAGAGAGAGAGAGAGAGAGAAGAAAAAGCCGAAAATGAGGAAGGGGAGGAGTGCGTGAGATAGAGAGAGAGGAGGGGGTAGAGAGAGAAAGGAGAGGATCTAGAGAGAGAGAGGAGGAGAGAGAGAGAGAGAGAGAGAGAGGAGGAGAAGA